GGGGGTGCTTGAGCAAAACACAAGCAGAATTATCTCAGAAACCACAAGTAATTTCTGCTCATAAAGTAGGCCTGATAAATTTGTTAATCTGAGTTAGAAGGAGGCAGAGGAATACGTGTGCTAATTGTGGGCATCCAGTCCCTTACAGTCCTTCTTCCCAAGTGCACAGAGCAAACTGAAAATATGTGTTTGCTTTTTTATGCGTCACTATTACTATCAATGGCATAGGTGATTACCATTGTAGCTAAAGAGAAATATGGTATTCTCTGCCAAGACTTGGTACCTTTGGAGATGGGGGTGCAAGATGTAGGGCCCTGCCAATGATAGATTTACTGATAGATTTAAGATTGTTTCATTCATTGGCAGTGAGATCCTCATGGGTGATAGTTGGTAGAAGAATCCAGAAGACTACAGGACAGCTCACCAAAGTATAAAGTCTGTGCTAATTGTTGAAGAAGGTTTTAAAATCATCTGGTATCCTAAAGCAATGGTGGGCTTCCTCAGCAAAATGAAGGAGGCATTACCAATGTCTGATGATTCCTGGTAAATGAATAAGTATCTGGATGAAAAAAAAGGAATGAATCCTGGCATAAGAGCTTCAATGCCAGTGATTATAAAGTGGGTTGCAGTACTGCTGATTCAAAGATGAAGTCAAAGAAGAATGACCGTTTGGGGTATTTAGCCTTTTTCATGGATCATTTGCCAAAATCTTTGAGGGGATACTTCACCTAACTGAAAATGTAAAAATCTTGTCTTGGATGGAAAGCAAAAGGAGCTATTCAAAACAAAACACAATACAGAGTCTGAGCTCATTACCAATTGACAGACCAGTTTAAGGGGACACATGAGACTGGCAAAATAACTTCTAAAAACATAATGAGTGTAATTATGGGAACAAATAAAGGAAAGCTGTTACAAAGCATACAAATCACAGTAGTGTGGACTATTAGGCATCTACTCTTGCTTTCTGAGTATCTCAGGACATTTTAATTACATCCAGATTCTTCTAAATAAAGCACAGTAAATTTAGTTAACTAAAGCATTTCAGTTCTTAGGTGATTACTTTGTGACATATGAAGGTTTGAAGCCTCTGAAATAACAGGGAGTTGTAATTAATTTTAAACATACAAACGAGGTCCATGCATCTGTGGAACAACACTCTCCCAGCTACATCAGTGCAGTGGTTTAGTCTATCTGATACCATACTCATCTGTGCTCAAATTCTGATGCTTCAAAGGAGAGTGAAAACAAACACACCTTCACCTCACAGAGGGTAATTTGGCCATTGTGTACTGGGAAAACCATACCTTTCTAATTCCTACAGCATACCTGATGGAACACTTAAGCCTGATACTAAATTACGTTTATTTTCTTGTGCAGAGTTGCAAGCATTACGAAAATTTTGAGGGCAATGGCCACTTTCTTTTATCAAACATGAAATAAATTGATTTCTTAAGTGCCACATTGTAAAACTTTATTTACCACATAATTTTTGTGATCCTAAAGCCGCCTTAGTATTTTTACATTCCTTTTGAACCGAGGATATTAGAACTGGACACAAACATATTAGTCTCAGCTTTATCAACACTACGCACCAAAGCAAATTGATCTTATTAGTTCTTATTCATATTCTCTTTCTTATACATACAAAATTCCCATTCGCTCCTTTGCCAGAGCGCTGTACTAAGGCTACATGTTGAGGTGCTTATTTTAACAGTAGCTGAAGTCATCTCCTTCAAAGAATGAGGTGGCTCAATCATGTGCCACACTCAGTAATCTCTTGTGTATCTTTCTAGGAAGAGTAGCTCTTAGTTCATATGTGGAATGTAAAGTTTAGAGTCTGGAAAGGCTTTATGATGATATTTGCAAAAAGGCTTACCAAATGAGAAAGACATTTTTTAGCCTGCAGTAGGCTATCAATTTGTTATTAACTCACTCACATACAAAAGACAACAGCATCTTGATCGTCAAAGGGACATTTGCATTTCTGAAAAAAGCTGATTAATAGCATGGAAGAAGGTCAGAACTGCCTCCTGAGTAACCTGAGTATCAATAACACTTTTAGAGATGGAGAGATTTGAATAAACCTGTATGCAAATATAAAACAAAAGTGAGGATAAGAGAGTTAGGATTGATCTCCAACCCCAGATTCTCATCAGTGAATATAACCTGGGGATGTAGGTTTGTTCAACAGCTGTATGTTCACCCAGGAATATATAAATGCTGAAAAGCCTGTCAGCTGGAACATAAAAATTGAAAAGAAACTTTGGAATAAATCTATGTACTATGTAAAATGCGCATGTTTTTTCTGTCAATAGGACCCTTATAAACCCCTTGTAACAGGATTATCTATTTTATATTTTATAAATATTTTATTTGCTTTCTCTAATGTGACTCATGTCCATTGTGGGCTGCATATGGCCCTTCTTGAAGTATTACAGCAACAAGCAGTATTTTCCCTTTAGCAATATTAACTGTATTATTTAATTTATGTAAATAACTGTCAGGGCAGTTAGTGTAGTACTGAAGAAATTTTTAATTCCTACTTATCAAAGCTACATTATCAACTTAACATCTACTCTGTAAATTTTCTGATACTCACAATGCCTTTGTATAATTCGATTCTAAAGTATAGTCAGTTTGATGGTAAAATGTAAATGTCTAAAAGAGAATAAAGATTAACAATAATTAATAAAAATATTTAAACCACAATGATGCTTCTAATGAGATAAAGGATGACTTCATGATATCTGGGGGATCTGAAAAAATGTCCAATACTACTTTTGGAACTTACTTTGTATGGGTCCTCCACAGTGCTATGTTAAGTGAGAGGCTGAATCTTTTTTCTGTTCATGTGGTTCTAGGTTGCTCAAACACTGTATCTGGGATTCATCTACCCTAAATTAGATATCTGAACTATAGGTCGATATATCCTGTAAACCAGGAGCCTTCATTTAGTTGAGACAAATGCCCTAGCACAGAAGACTAAGCCTGTGCTCTTTGAACCTCTCAGTATTACACTCTTCAGATTCCTTTGGAAAAGGCACCCGAGAGGTCTACTCTTATCCTAAGCAATGCAGCTCCCTCCCGAAACATCTGAAAATAAAAGCCCTGTCATGCTTCCAATGTGCTTGCAAGGACTGCACAATTCAGCATCCTTATTCCTATCTCCTGTCTTTTCCTTGCTTCACACAGATACCCTCAGTGATTAGGCGTAATTTCTTTTTGGAATCACACATTCTGCTTTCCTTCGAAGATCCCCATGTCACAGAAGAGAAATGAATAGCTTCTGCTGCTGTAGCGAAACAATTTTCTGTCTTTAAGGGGACGTGATCATATGCATGGTAGCTACCTGGTCACCTCTACCAGAATGCCAATCCCATTCCACAGTCAGCTCCAGAAGAAAAAAGAAGGCCTTTTTTTCTGATCAGTCACTACTTCAAACACTCCAGCACTCAGTCACCGTGGTCCATTCCCCATTCTCAGCCTCTAGTGGGGAAGAAGCACAGAGAGGAGGATTAGAATTCCCTTAGAGAGGGTGGGAGCTGGAAAGGGAGGAAGATGAAGGAAAGAAAAGGAAAAGCAAGGAGCCAAGGTCACTGGACAGCAGAATTATATAGCTACTTAAATCCTCAACTCTCTCATCTTCATAGGCACAACACAGGGAAGGAAATAGCATCTAAGACTACCACAAGAATTTTCCTTTAACAACATACCCACACACAGTAAGAACAAACTCTGCACTCCATGACCAGGCATTCTCACATACATTAGAGGAAAACAGTGATGTCTGTCACGTGACTGGAAATGAATCTGTCTCAAGGAAGGCTGCATTGTGATAGAGCTGGAAACATTCTACCCACTCCATCTCATCAGTGAGAACCACCATGCTGCATCTAGAAGGAGGATGAGGCGTGTGTCATATGAACAGCAAGCAACAACAGCTGATCTCTCATCAAATCCTTTTCCTCTACACTATTTACTTTTGGTATTTCCTAGCTTTTTAGTCCAGGACCTGTCCTAAGCCTTGCCAAAACAATGATGCTTAGGTCTGTGTTTTATACTAGTGGTTGGGCCTCATTTATGGGCTTGATAATGGAGCCTTGTTTCTGAGATATCTAGGAAAGGGGGAAGTTGTAGAGAGTGACAGGACTTAAACTTTTCAGAAATAGCAGTTGCTTCACAACACGCTATGATTATGGTGTAGACACCTAAATTAGCAGGTTGTTCAAGCACAGGAGACACACTTTTGATATGTATAGATCATTAGACATCCAAATGTTGACACCCATGAAACATAGCAGCAGCAGAATGGAAAGGGGCAGATAAACAAGATGAAATGCTGACAAGCAAAAGATACTTAAACATGTTCCATATGCCTAAATCAGGGCAGATGATTTCCAGCTTATGTAACTAATTGTTCATGTTTATTAGATGTCCCTGCCCATGGCAAGGGGGTTGGACTAGATGACCTTTAAAGGTCCCTTCCAATCCAAACTATTCTATGATTCTATGATTAAGAAATCCGCCTTCTTAATATTGCAGAATTGTGGAGTTAATTTACAAATTTACAGTGCTGACCTGGTATGATGAAACTTAGTTAATATGCTATTTTAATTTATAGTTTTAAGTAATGGTTTCTCTTACTGAATTTTAAATCCAGGAAATACACTTAAATAATAGCTATATTAGTAGAAAATTAATCTGCATGGACCTATGTGAGCATATACTCTGCTGTGAAGTCTCAAAAGCAGTGAATGCATGTGGAAAGAAGCCTTTCTCCACTCCTACATACATATAAGGACTATCCCAAATATTACCCAAATACAGCAGAAAATGAAAATGTATAGCAAAATACAGTAGAAAGAAACTTATATTTGAAAGAAACTTTAAAAAAAACTTACCTCATTTTTAACACAGATTCCATAAGCAACTTCATAACTGCTGTTTTTTTCTAGTCATAGTAGGTCTGGCCTGTAGACTTCCAGAGATGTACTTACAGCCACCTTCTCCTCAAAAGCTATCAGAGACCAAAATGTCATGTCATCTCCCATGTCCAGATAGTAGACATTCAAATCCATGCTGTGCTGAAAAGCCACAACTAAGGAAGAATCTTCAGAGCTAAATGTAGAGCTAAATATTTCAATTTCCAAAGGATAGGTCTGGCGGTATATTCTAGAACCATCAGTTAATAACATGTATACATTAGCAGATGGATTAAAATAAAGGACCATGTTTTTCTTTCCACTTATCCACACAGGAAGCTTTACTAATTCTTTCAAGCCAGTTCTTGCAGCAAGTAAGATGTTATTTTTCATTGTTATCAATATATTCCCAAAGTAGTCTGTAAGAAGAAAAACAGAAAGAATACACATTTGCATAATTTAAATTTACAAAAGACTATGGCTGTATTTATTTCAAATTAATTTTTCTTACAGTTGTTATCTTTCTCATATGATATCTACATGTACTTCATTCATATACATCCCCAAATTAAAGAGGAATCTTTTGACAAGCTATGCCTGGTGGCTGACAGACATATCTTTTGCCCTCTCAATCTCACTCCCACTTAAAAAAAAAACAACAAACAAAACCACAGGATCTTGCAGGATCATTTCCTTTGTCAACTGGAATTCTTTTGCTTAAGAATCTGGATGTCATGGAGATAGGAGATGGTTCTTTGTATAGGTATTAGGAGTGCATTTTGAAGAAGGAAGGGAAACTTCTTTATTTTTTTTTAATGACAGTATAAATTTCAATCGTGTACTGACTCTAGCAGTGTTACTATGTATGATATCATATGAGGAAGGGGGATACCAGTGTCTTCAATAAAACCATGACTGGACAAACTAGCTCACCAAATGATCAACTACTCTAAAATACTAACCATACTGCACAATGTTTTGTGTAATAATGAAATGCCTGGTGGTAATTATATAAATTTCAGATACAGGACTGTTTCTGAGAAAATAGAAAGTTACTCAGTGCTAGCTAGAGTTTTTGAAGATATAATCCTCATAGGCACACTGCCACTATGGATGCATGTGCTGTTAGTACTTGAAGCCATATGGTTTGAGCAGTATTCATGAAGCATGCTCATGCTTCATCTTTTTGCACATAGGGACATACATGTATTCTGTAGACCTCTCAACTCCATAATTCTAGATCTAAGCAGCTCTATGAGGACCTCTTCCACAGATAGAAGATGAATAGGCATATGGCATACACATCTCAAAGAACTTTGAGTAATGGTAAGTAACCCTTTAATTTTTCTTTGTCAGTATACATAAAAAAACCTACTAATGGTAATAACAAGAAGCATCTCCTTCACATCCAGAGCTAATATGGAGTTAGCACACGTTAAGAAAAAGATTGCTCTGAGAAACACTATCATTCATAGATGCTTTTACAATGGCATTGTAGGTGGAACTCCAGGTGGCTGCTTGTGGATGTCTGATGTTTTTTATTTCTGATTAGTATACCTTAATCTCTGAAAGCACTTCCACTTAATCCTGTAGAGGGGCTATTCAGCTGAATGGTCTTTGAAAGGAGTTTTCTGTGCTTTTCATTCCTCTGGATACAGAAAGAATAAAAGAGGAGTTTGTTTAAATAATTTGGTCCCATTTGGGTTAAGATCTGTCTGCTGTCCAACTCAGCCCTGAAACTACAGGGAGTTTAGAAAGAGCACAGATTAATTAATTTCCTAATGCTAATGAAATGTAGATATGACTGAAATTTTGAATGAGTTCCAGACCACTCCACATGGAAGAAGACCAACCATTAGTGCCTTCATCTTTTTTTTAAAATTTTTTTACCCTGATTGAGGTAACCACCTTTATACAGAGCTGAATGAGCAAATGAAATCACCATAAGCTCAAATGTCCAGTTTACCAAAGTCATGAGCAGCAAGTGTAACTTCTACTGGAGAACAGGCTGTTCTGACAGAGGGAAGCTCTTAACCCAACTTTGAATGAACATCAGAGCAGTGAAGTTGAACAAGCCTTCTCCGCCTCAAGTATTCAAGACTGCACTTCTGTCAGTCAACTTCCTGAGACAATACTGCTCCAATATTTACTCTGGAGGCAACAGTTTCATTCTGCACGAGAATCAGATGTTTGCTATGTCTTTCCTTGAATACTCCAAAACTCTGTTGATCTATCAGATCATCTTTTCTTGGAGAGACACCTCTGGTGAAGCCAATGACTGAGCAAGCAAAATAGAAAATGTAGCAGAAAATAGTAGTGACAATCCATTATTATTATTTTGATTCATGGTTGAATACAGCCTCATTTACCTTTTATCTTCTTGTCCCTAACCAAATGGCTCAAACGCTACTTCTCAAATCCGCTAATGGTGTATTTATTTTTGTTGACTGTGTTTCTAGCACAGATGTAGATGCATTTTACAGACCCTGTATTGGGTATGTTTTTCATGTTATGGTCTATTCCTTTCTGAAAACTAGCTGTGGCTCTCTTAAACCAGTACAATCTGAAAGGGATGGTGAAAATAGACTGACTCGTTTCAAAGTCATGAGGAGGTATCTCCACTTCTCCAGTTATCAGCTGCTGCCCCCCAATTTTGCATCATTCATTAATTTGCTGAGAGTGCATTTCATCCCACTGATGAAGATGCTAAACATATCAGCCCACCTCTGCCAGTTAGACTTTGAACTGTTGATCCTCTGGGTTCAGCCAGTTTTCCACTCACCTCGCACTCCAGTTGTTCATTGTATATCAAATGCATTGCTAAGGTCAAGGTAAATGACATCTACCATTACGCTCTTGTCCACCAAGTCAGTCATCTTCTCACTGAAAATGATCAGGTTGGTCAAGCATGATTTTTTCGTGATAAAACCATGCTGACTGTTTCCTATTTTATTAAATGTTTCATTATATCCAAGATAAACCTCAGTTGGTGTCCATGTAGGCAAAGTACTTAATTGTTTTCCACTCTCTTTAAAAAAATGACACAGCAATTAGGTAAATAGTGACTTCTCTTGAAGTTTATATCAAGGATGTGCATAAGAAATCAAGATGTTTTGGGATACATTTTCAGCTAATGTAATTAGGAGAGCTTCACTGAGATTAATTTACAAATTCAAGCTGTGATCCTAAAAATGATTTCATATGGCTGCATGAGCTCATACAGTGAGAGCCACAGACAGTGTGCAGACCTTATTTCAAAATGTTCTTTAAATAAACTTGTTTCTGTCTGGTCATTTCTAAATCCAAACCCAGCATTACATCAATGAAAAGCAGATCTAAAATAGATTAATCCAGATATTTAATGAAGACCATCCATATCTTAAATGTCAAATGAGAACTACAGATAACTTACCTGCACTGGATAGACACATGGACACCAATATTTTGAATATATTCCAGTTATTTCACTTTCAGGAAGCTTGTGTTCTGCTCCAAGTTGAAAAAAATTATTACCTTCCCATGTATAAGAAGTACCATTTATTAAAAATATGATTCCATTATCTGTTAGAGCCACATTGGTTACATTGTTATTTAGGCCTTGGGTCAAAGCATCTGAGAGAACTTTTATTTCTATGTAAGTTCTGAATCCATCATGTGTATAGGAAGTTCCAAAATTTGTTAATAAAACTGCTGTTGTTGGAAAACATGCAGACCATTTATCGGAGAGGTCACTATTTTCGGGGGAACCGAGTGAGATGTAATTTTCCTTGCTAGGAAATGATTGTTTGGGCCTTGGAATTATAAAGGGAGTATCTAGAGCAAAGCATTCCTGAAATACTGTTGGCTTTCCATGTATTTTTGCTATGATGTCATCAGATATTGCAGGTACATCGACAGTCCATAATCTGGAAATGGAAGAAACAACAGATAAACAGAGAAACTTGAAAGATGAAAACTTCAGTCAGTTGAACTGACTGAAAGCAATTCAGCTACATGATTAATGTCACAATCTTAGAAGAACTCTACCTACAGTGGTACAAAATTATTTACAAATTCTGTTTTAATTCCAGAAGATAGATGATGAAATGAAATCAGGGTGAAAAAGATCAAAATTTGCTTGCAGTTGAAGTTCAACTTCTAAACATACAAACCTAGGCATATTCCTATCTCAGTCCTGTCTGGAAACTGTACATGACTGAAAGATCTGACTGAGAAGAGAGTATCTGGAGTTAAAAATGAATGGTTGTAACATTATAACTCCATGGAATAATACAGCTTTCACTATTACCGAGGACACCTTCTCCCCACGTTTCCTACAGCCTCCTTCGAGCTACTTGGAATGTGTAGAGGAAGACAGATTAACAAGAACTAGTACCAAACCCTGTTGCAGATGATGATCAGGGCCACTGATAATTCAGCAAGAGTTGTGTTGATAAGCAATAAGAGAAAATGGGGCTTAACAGAGATAATCTATGTGTAGGAATAGCCTTATCGTAAATCATGCAGACTAGCAAACCTGACAACAGAAATACTCATGAATATTGGGGATTTCTAAGTCTTTGGGAAGAAGAATTCTTAGTTTCTTACACAGTCAGTGTGTGTGTATGTATGCATCACATTGACAATTACACATGCATCCCTAATGCACATATTCTAAGCACTGAAAGCAGAATGTTAATATGCTTGGTAAGCAACTAACTTAGAGAATCACATAAAAAATAACAAATCATATTATGTAATTCTATATCCTTGTGCTTATATGCTTCACTTGCCCATTCTCACTGTATTCATAGAATTATTAATTAATTCCATGAATTCATTCATTGATGGGTTACTTACAAAAATCAACAATCTGTGTGGTCCTCCCAGTTATAGGTACATAGCGTACTGTCACTTTGTTAGGATATACATTGATATGAACACAGCTCTAGTAGCTCCAATACATCAAGTCCGGAGTAAGTTTGAAACTTAAAGAGGTTTCCTTGACCAACTTTCCCAGGAAACAGAGAGTGTGGATAATGCAAGTTAATCAAGACAGAGAAATTATTTTTGTTACTTTTCAATTAATAGTAGCTGCACAGCTTTCCAATATTACTTCCCTAACTTCAGTTGGCGTAATACAATATAACTCATTCATTAAATACATAAGATAATAATGGATCTGACAGGTGCAAAAGGGCAGCATCTCTGAAGATGACTTGTTCAAATATCAAGGCCCAAACAGTTCTGTTTCACTACATCAGGATACAGCAGGGCTGACAGAAACTTAAAAATTGAAAAATTCAGCTCAGTATAAAGCAGACCTGGGAGGAGTATAAGCTTTCTAGTTTTGGCTTCTGGAGAAAACGTGATACAGAATAGAACCTATTCCTATTCTTACAAACTGTTTTGAGTTTCCCAAGAAGCTGCTGCTGAGTTTCAGAGGAGATTTAAGAAGCCTAAGAGCCTCTCACTGGCTGTTTACCAAATACTGAGCTAAACTCTGAGTCTGTCCAAGGTTCCAAAAGCAAAGCTCAGTTAAGATTGGTCGTTTCCTTTTCTCTCATTTCACTGGAAAATATGTCTCCTGAGAAACTGAGTTTGAAATTTCAGTTTTCATACCTCGTCTAGTGATAATCATCCTGTCCAGTCTCACTAGAATTTGAATTTGTCTGTGGGCTTAGTGCTCTTAAGAGGGATGCTAAGGAGATTCTTGCATATGATTATTGGATACAAGTTGTTTCACCCCAAGCTTACTTCAGTGTTTTTCTATCAACAGATGTATTAACTTCCAGGCTTATCTCAGTAAATTAAATATTTGGAAAGGCAAAAATGATGCAAATTCTGTTCCTGAAGATGTGAACACAAGTGCCACTGGCTTCAATAAAAGGTGTTTCCACAAAATAACCAAGCACGTGTGAGATGATTCAGATGAATCAATAGACTTTCTTTCTTACTTGGAAGAAAAAAGACTGTTAATTTATAAAGCAGTTTTATTTTCTCTTACTTGATTATTCTGCACTTCAGTTGTCTAAAAAAGCAGCGGTTAATAAGATAGAAAAAAGTAATACCAGAACTCACACCATTTAGAAACAATTTACTGAAATTGCCAGAACGCATATGTTCCCATTTCGGGGGGTGAATTATTTAAGCTCCGCTGTGAAAAACGCAATAGAAAAAGCCCATCTCTGGTTATAGCAACTTTTGAGATGGAGTGTTGCTATGTTGCCATCTAGTGATAAAATAGAAAGGTACAACAGATAACGACAGAGAGAGCAAACCAAACCTACCTGAACAATACTACCCACCCCATTAAAACTCATAGTCATTTCTTGGAGTATAATACATAGCATTAATTACATGCTGAGAGTAAACTCTTTAAAAAAGAAGGTAAGGTCACAAAATAGTAGTGAACTTCTTATAATTGGCATTAAGAGAGTGTGTAAAATGGGTGAGGGTCAGATGGCAAATATGCTGCAGGAAACATCTGCGTTGAGAACCCCTTGTAAAAGTCATTCTCACTACTCCATGACAAAATTTAGCTCTGATGTATTTGGATTAGCTTCACTGAAGGCCTACATAGGATAAAATTTTATAGATCACAAAACTTGTGACAAATACCTTGGCTACACATACCTCCTATTATGTTCACATCACTATTATTTACTGGTTTGTTCTATTTTCTCATGAACTCACAATCAAATGAAAACTGTGAATTTTTGTCACTGCTGACCTGTTGTGTTTTCATGGCACACCACAAAATATGGTGAATACTACATACTCTTGGAAAGGAAAAGAAGTAATTGCTCTCAAATGCAGTAAGCAGTGATAAAAGTAGAGCAACTGACAGTATGAGAGTCCTTGTATTAGGTCTAATATTTATTGGTCCAAAATACTAGAAATAACAGTGCAGAAGAGTTTCATCAGGGGCTCCAGCACAGAAAAAGTAGGAATTGAAGGGGATGGCACTGCCTCAGGAAGCTCTTCAAATGCCAGGTTTGTCTGGATTCATGAATTACCTTTTTGTGACTGCCCAGACTCACCAAAATCTTACCACAATCCCTTTACTTATTTCTAAGAAAATTGACAATAGTTGCTTGTGAAAAGAAACTCACTCACTCATCCTTTGGAATCCTATACGATGTTCCTAAGAAAAAAGCTCCTATGAACGTCACCTGATGGTGGATGCTGTAGTATGAGGAGGTTCCGGGATCCCTTTCGCTTTTCCCTCACCTTCCAACCACTTCCTTGCTATTCTGTTTCCTATCCAGAACATGCAAACTCCCAGTCAAAGCATGACTGTAATATAAGCAAGCATTAAAAGAAGGATAAATACTTTGGGTATTGTTTTATCACATATGTTTAGAACCATATTACTACGGCCATTGCCCTACTACTGCTCATCAAGGGTATAGCTAACTGTTGATTCACAGAAAATGCTGAATTCTTCAGCAACAGGTGAAAGAAAATGTCTAAGATACGGTACTTTGCACAAGTACCTGAACTTTATCCTAAACAAGGTAGCAGAGACATTGGAAGCAGTTTAATTGAACCTGAATGATACTCTGCCTGAGCTACCTTACTTCTTTTTTGAAATTGTGCCTGAAATATCAACACATAAAATAAAAATGTGCAACCCCCACTTAGAAGTCTAGAGAAGGGTGAAGAGGAGTATCTGTCCAAGATTTTTTTCTAAATGAGGATGAGGTGTTTGATACAATACCTCACACACATTCTGAACTTCCAGGAATGGCATGCCTGAATGGGGGGATATGTTTAACTTCAACTACAACTTGACAATTAAGACTCAAAGACCATTCATTACAGTAAAAATGTTAAGTGGTTTTTGAGCCTAGTCTTGCTTTCTACTCCATGAGCTTCTATACATATGAAGGAGAACAATTACATGCAGTGAGTTTTTTAGGACTGAGAGAAAGGCCTACATAAGTTTAAGTTCTATGGTGAATGAAAATAAGGGCAGCGAAACCTGCCTAGCAGATGACAAGCTGTCTTCAAAGAAAAGGAAAAATGGCAAAATTATTACTGAAGCACAAAGTTATCTCAAAGTGGAAAAAAGAGGCCCAGATATGGGCCTCTCATCAACAGTTCTCATCATGGCTCTACTCATCAACAGCTGTTTGCAGAGTCGCAAGTGTAACAATTTTAAATAGCATTCCATTTTAAAAATACAAATAAAATACCATACCCTAATTTTGGATGCTCCTGAGAATAGTACTTGTCTTTTTTCAAATAGGTGTGAACAACAGGTTCCTGTCCCAAATTCCAAAACAGCCTTCTGAGTATCTGAGAACTCGGTTTAAGTAAAATAAAAGGTTATTATTAATTATATTTTTGTCCAACTAGTATAAGGCTGTTTATGACAACATCTCTCTTTTGAAATTATTAAGTTGGAATAAGCTTTGATATTATAAAATACATTTTCAAACAATGACATACCATTAAAATCATGTTGACTCAAACTATTCATTTCAGAATACACAACACTCAGAGCCAAGTTCAGTTTTCTCTGCATTCTTTCTGTAGGAGCAGACAGAAAATAAAACCACTTTCCTAACATCTAGTCATCTAATGACAAAAATGCCTTCACAATTAATATTGCTACCTTTTTCTTCTGTTTCATTTTAATCTTGAAGAGAGTAATGTCAATTATTAAACAAATGTTAAAAATTTTAAAGATACAATGATGGCAATTTAATAATAAAAAAACCTAAAATAAATTGTGGTGCCATGCATGCGTATCTCATGTCAGGTACTATACCAATGACTCATTACTTTCTGCCATTCGTTTAGATCAGAAACCCACTCCTAACAAAATTTATTGTACATATTAATCCTTACAACTAATCCATGTGGGATAATCTCTTGAATGAATCTCTGTTCAGCTTGTACAACAGGTTGTCACATT